ACTATCTTTAATTAAATTCCATACAAAAAACACAAGGTTACTGCCTTGTTCCCATTTTTATTCTTGGATTTACTCACTGCGTCCTTTTTCTTTATGATTCGAACTCGCCAAGACCTGCGGTAATCTTTACTGGATCTCTTTAACTCAGGCCCCACGTATTTCAACCAGGACACAGTGGTCATGGAGAAAAGTTATTCAGTTTCCATTAATTCTGGGATTTCTGTTGTTCTTGTTGTTGTTGAAGTTAAGCTTTATTCCATGGTGGTCTGATAAGATACGGGGGGTTATTTCAATTTTTTGTATCAATTGTGGCTTTCTTTTTTGTTGTTGCATATGTGTTCAGTTTTATAGGCGGTTCTGTGAGGTGCTGAGAAAAAAAGGTATATTCTATTGTGTTTGGGTGGAATGTTCTGTACATATCTGTTTAGTCCATTTGAGTCAGAATATCTATTAGTTCTATTATTGCTCTGTTTATTTTCTGTCTGGATGACCTGTGAGAGTGGGAAGTTGACATTTCTCACATTAATGTGTGAGTCGCAATGTGTGATTTAAGCTTTGGTAATGTTTCTTTTATAAATGTGGTGCCTTTGCATTTGAGACATGAATATTCAGAATTAAGATGTCATCTTGGTGGATTTTTCCTTTGATTAGTATGAAGTGTCCTTCTTCATATGTTTTATTAATTTTCATTGGAAGTATTTTTTATTAGCTATTAGTTTGTATTAAGCTGGTGCCTCTTCACAGTTTGGTCATTTTCCATTCTAAGAAAAAAAAATCCATGAAGCCCATATATAACCAAGGAATAAAAAATGGCAGAAAGTAAAATAGTTCATAAACAAAAGCCATGGTAGTTTACAGAAATCCAAAAAATTATGCCAAAGACAATCCAGTGGAATACCATAAAGACATTATTTAATTCCTTCCTAATAAAAAGAGATGGCACTGTGGTTATAGTAAACATATTTATTGCTGGATGAGACTTATATCAGTAGTTAGACAAACCTACTGGGCCTACTTACTCTCACTAATAAACTACACATCCAAATGGAAGAGATAATTCCCAGCAATCATAGTATATCCACACCAATCAACATGCTGGGAATAGACACTTGGACTCATGTTTCTTGAATCAAGCTCTTAATAATCTGGATGTACTTGAGGAACCAAATGCCTTGCCTAAAACTAGATACTCTGATGAACCACTGAATAGCCTTAAATCATCTTAAAGAAAAACCGTAAATATATAAGTAAATAAATACATACTTACATGACAAGTAACAAATTCATCTTTATTTTACTTCTTTCCTACTTATTATCATTTTCCTTTTGCTTGAGTTTACTTCATCTTATTCTCCATGGTTAAATTTAATTAAAAGAAAAGCATAGTTATTAATAATAATTCTAACTTACCATCCCCAAAATAATGTTAACAATCTTTTGCAACATGTGGGAGTATGTATATTTACTCTAATTCCCAGAATAGTTATTCATTAATAGGAAATTCATCCAATCAAAAATAACTCTGATTCAAAGCTAGGGAATGAAGGTAGGTTTTGTCTTTTTTTGTCTGTACTCTGCCATTATCCCAGTAACAACCAAAGATAGCATGACTTTCTACCATAAATACTACAGAGTATTCTACCATAAATAAATTCTACCATAAATACTACTTCTTTTAGAAGATAAATATTAATAATTATTATATCTTCACAACTATGGATATGAGATCTAAAGAGATGACTCAGCCATAAAAAGTACCTGTCACTTTTGCAGAGGACCCAGGTTCAGTTCCCATAACTCACATGAAGGTTAGTAATTATTTGTAACTTAGTTCCAGGCCATCCAAGACCCTCTTCTGGCTGTGGGAACTGGATACACATGTTATACATGCATACAGTTAAAACATTTTTATGCATAAATTGAAAGTCTAATTTTAAAACTGGAGATATAAGCAGACACATGCAAACAGGGAGAGCAATCTCAGTCCTCAAAGCTTACTCAAAATAATTCAATGAAGGCTCCATTCCATCATCTACCCATTGAGAAACCACTAAGCATTCAGATGATTCTTCAACTCCAGGCATCCCCCTGCATCAGAAAAATCCAAAACTCAAGAAAAGTTCTAAATAGTCTCTATTTCAAGCTATGTAGCAGTATCTTAGAAATTGAAACTTCAAAAGTTCATGTCAGTTATCTAGTAAACTAACAAGCAGCCTATAGTCAACCTGTGTAATATTAAATGAAAATTGTTACTAAACAAATTAGTCATAGAAATAAAAACTCAAAATATTGCATAAATAAAAAGGCTTGTACTCTGTGACAGCATTTCATCCTGCCAGAATGATTCTAACTCTGAAATCACAGACATGTGAAGTATTCTCACCTTTGAAAATCCAATGGAAGGGATGCTACAAACTACCAAAAGAAACTTTATACATTGGGAAAACAAAATCAAGGTGGCAACATAAGCTGTATTATAGGACTCCTTTTAAACTTTGGCTAGGATTATAGGCAACTTTACATACTTGGGGAAGAGAATTTGATGGCACACTCACATATTCACAATCAAAGCCAACTTTTGTCTTGAAACTTAAGATACTGTTTGCAGGATTGTCTCTTACCTATGCTTCTCAGCCAACCATGTGGGAACATGCACCTTCATTTCTTTAACCCCTAATGTAGACATATACCCTAAAAATCAATCTTATCTGCTCCTTTGGAAATGTTTGTCAGGTCTAAATGAGTTCTACAATTCATTCTCCTTCTTGTAGAAATGAGAATAATATCAGCACTAGCGTAGTGAGGGCTGGGGTGACTTTTCTCCTCCCTCTCAAATCAACCACAGTGTTATCTCCAGACCCCATCTGCTGGCTCATAGGATGTTATTAAAGGTATTAATACCCTTCAAAACAAATACATTCACTGGTGGCAGGTGCTTTCAAAATTTTATCACTTAACTGCTTAAAGGGGATGTTCTGTCTCTTCCATGAAGAAGAATGCTGTTTTTTGCTAAACAATCCAGAAATGCTGGACAAAAACTGACAGGCCATGCCCAAGAATTCAGCAGCTATCTGAACCATAGTACTCATTGTCTAAAGTCTTACTCCAGATGTCTTGATTCCTACCCTTAGGGACATTCTTTATGGTTTTTTTTTCTAGTCTTACAATTAAGACCTTGTCAATCAAAATCCTAAATTAGTCTGTTTCTTCTTACCTAGATGCCATTAAACTCCAACTTCAGGGTTTCAGATCAATGATGAAACAAGTGTCAAGTTTCACAGTCTCAGCTGGTTCATCTAGGGTGAGAATTCATGACCCATTATATATTGAGACAACATGTCTTTGTAATTGGTAGCAGTTAGTGAAGATAATTTTTCCTATGCTTCAGAGTCTCACAAAGATTTGAAATTACTATGCTACTCAAGGACAGACAAGGTAGGAAAATAAAGCCATATACATAGTACTATGAGCCATAACGACTATTAGGACTATTGTTGAGGACTCAATAATCAAAAACTCCACAGCAGAATCCCTCTGAACTATGCCAAGGATTATACAAACCTGATACAGGAATGATGAAAGTCAACCAATCATCTGCAACAGCCTAAAAAGATAACCCTTTCTAACACTCCTCCCAATCATTTTTTGATGAAAAAAAAAAAAAGTCCCTGGAACATGAGGAATGGAGCAGGGCCTGGAATGGCATGCTTATTCAAGCCTAATCCTACACTGGAATTATCTTATGCTTTTGCTGCCATGATTCAAGAAAATTAAATTTTCACTACTAGGATTTCATGATTTCCTCACTTTGTTCAACATACAAAGAACACAGAAATCACCTCAAAGAGATATAACTGAGACCATCTCTGCTAACAAAAGCATGATATCATAGTTTAAATGCATTGATGAGTATGAGTAATATACAGTAATAACTATAAATAAATACTAAGAAAATGAGGAATGATTTTTGAGAAATAAAATACCAGCATATAAATAACAATGGCTAAATGACAAAGTGAAGTTCAAATCTTTTTCCACTTGAATACAAAGTAAACAATATGTAATTCAGCTGTGAGATATTGTTTTGGTGTGAATGCATGAAGTGATATTTCAGGTCTGCATAATGATATTACAACAGTAACTGTTTCCTTTAGAGTTGGCCTTTAAAATTAAATCACCCCTTGAATATTGCATTCTAAATTCTAAAGAAAAGCATATCTAATGGATTAAAGTTTCACTGCCCTAGTAATCCTGTTTTGCTTGGCAGAAAACATATCAGCTGACCAGTTTATATTAGAAGCGTAAGGGTTCTTTTTTCAGTCATGTTTGTCAACTGAGAAAAGGTAAGTAAGTTGTCATAATGTTTAACTTGTAGAAAAAGGCACTTGACTACAGAATATCAGGAACAAACTCCAGGAGGTCAGGACAGATTGTTCCTGACAGGGACAGGCAAAAAGAAAATAGGAACACAGCTGCCTGGTGAGCCTTTCCCAGAATGTCCATCTTGCAGCCAGTTGCACTGCCTTATAAAAATCAACTTACTTGTTTCACTTATGTGTTATTGTTGCTTTGATGGAGTAACTGGGATCCTTCCAGTGTCTGATACTTGAAAACTCCTGTTTCTTTCCCACCAGCTGCCTTCCATGTATTGGCTTTAGCAATGCAAGCACAGAGACTGTGTCGAGCATAGTGTTTTACCTCCAAATGTATCCTTCAGTACTTCCGAAAATACTTCTCCTGATTAGCATATAGTAACTTGGTTAATGGCATATTTGATGTTTTAAGTATTATTAACAGGAAATATGTTAACAATGCTCTTTGAAAGAAGCCATAAAAGTTTGGAATAGTTCAAAAGTTAATTATTTTAAAGCCCAAGTTAAATTCAAATTAAAGTTTTCAAGGCAATACCCTATTAGGCAGGATTATGAAGAAACTGATAGAGTATAATAAAGAAAAACCCTATTTTTTTCAAGCTTTGAGAGTTAGGAAAGAACAATACCATGAAGCTCTTAAATACAACAGGATTCTTTCATGGAAGTGCGCTCTTGTTTAGTGCCATGGTAGGGGCAGGAATTTTAATGTCTCCTAAAGGAGCATTAAAATATTCCTCATTGAACATCCCAGTTTCTCTGAGTATTTGGGTAGGTTGAGCCCTGCTGAGCATGATGAATGCTCTCTGTCTTGCAGAGCTGGGGACCACCTTCCCTGTGAGTGGAGCATCTTATTATTTCCTCAAAAGATCTCTTGGATACTCTGTTGCTTTTCTCAGTCTTTGGATTAAAACTTTTACTCATTCCCTAGGCATTGGTGCTCAAAGCCTACTAATAGCTAGTTATCTAATTCAGCCTTTCTATTCTGAGTGCCCAGCTCCAGAGGTCCCAAAAAAATGCCTAGCTTGGAGGGGTGGAGCCAAGATGGCGACTAGCACACACAGTTTCTGAGCTGTGGAAGTGCTAACCATCTGAGTTGGTGCGTAGAAGGACCTCTAACCCAGGAAAACAACGGTGAGGCTTCCTAAACAACAGGGAACATCACATGAGGCGAAAACTTTGGTCTCGGGTCACCCGGAGACTTGTTTGGGGAAGGTGAGAAACGATCCTTTGAGCAGCACTCCCCTCCCCCAGACTTCCTTCCTCCTCGGCACAGCGGAATCATCTTTCTCTGCGCAGACTTAACTGCCTGGGGTCTGCAGCGGCTGAGGCAGAGCTCCAAGCCCTTTAGCGGCAGGTGCCAGCAGTACCCATCTCGGAGTCCCAGATCCGCGCTGTGGCTGCACCATCCTCCGAGGGCCCGAGTCTGCTAGACGCCATACTAGCTCCGCAGGATCGCCATCACTGACAGTACGGCCCACCCAATCCCACAGTGACAGAGAATACGCTATATACTCACCAAAACCAGACAGAAATGCCAGACTAGCTAGGCATAACAGGCGCTGGGAGAACACAGTGAAGAAACCCCAGGACTTTCCAGAAAACATCTGGAGCAGCAACCCAGTCTCCAGTTACAGCAGGACTTTCTAACCTGGCAGCGGAGCAGCACTGAGCTGGCGGGGCACATCAGCCCTCCAGTTTAGGACTAACCAGGGCCAAACCGGAAAACAGAAAGCCTGCTTACCCCGATTCCTACTGACGTGACCACCTTGAAATCTCCAGCTGCAGCAAGACCTCATAACCTGGCAGTGACAACAGCACGGAGCTGGCGGAGCACATCAAAGAAGCAAGGCCAAACCAGAGAGCAGAGAGCCCAGATACCCTGATCTCTGCCAAATGACTTGCCTGTAAGTGAGTGCACCCTTGAGAATCTGCAGATCCCCAGATCCTGGGTCCTTCTAAAACAGAAGCCAGGCATCGAACCCCCTCCCACCCATATACCCACTTTGGGAAACAGAGGGGCACTTGGAACATTGAAGTTCCTGCTCTGTGGGTCTAATTGAGGAGTTAAGGCAGTTAATGCCAGAAATTGCACGGCGATCATCACTAGCGCCTGCGACATATACAGTGCAGAGCCTCTCCCACACAATCAAGGGTTCAACATTAGCCATCACTCTGTCCCTTGAGATACACATCCACGCATACCTCCACACAGACACACAGACACACACACACACACACACACACACACACACACACTTGCATTTGACCCGTCTGCGCCTGCATACTTTTCTCCCGCAGGTACAGCTAGTCCTCAGCACACGCTAAGGACACGGGACATCTCTCAGCTTGTCTCTCTCCAGACGCCAGAGAGAGACAGTACCAGTCTGATCGGCAGAATCCAAAAACAAACAGGGAAGGTCTCAGATAAGCCAATGGCCAGGGGTAGGCGAAAGAACACTTCCAACATAAATCAGGACATCATGACTTCACCAGCAAACCCCAAAATTGATGTTTACTCCAATTTATCAGAAGCACAGGAAAATGACCTGAAAGCCATGCTTACCCAATTATTTGAGGCTCATAAGGAGGAAATGAACAAATCTTTCAAAGAGTTGGCCAGTCAATTGGAGGTAAAGAAAGAAGAAATAGACAAAACACTTAAAGAAACACAGGCAAACATAGCCAAACAAATAGAGGCACAAGTAGAGATAAAATTAGTGGCATATAAAAAGGAAATGAACAAGGAAATAGAGACCATCGTAGAGAGACAGGAATCCAAATTCAAACAAATGAAAGAAATGGTGCAAGGCATGAAAACAGAATTAGAATCAATAAAGAAAACGCAAATAGAGAAAACCCTTGAGCTGGAGAACTTGGAGAAAAGATCAGGAACCACAAAAGTAAGCATCACCAACAGAATACAAGAGATGGAAGAGAGAATCTCTGAAGCTGAAGACACACTTGCAGAAATTGATACTTCTCTCAAAGAAAAAGTAAAATCAGAAAAGTTCCAATCACAAAATATCCAAGAAATCAAGGACGCTATGAAAAGACAAAATCTAAGAATAATAGGAATTGATGAAAAAGAAGACTCCAGGCTCCAAGGTCCAGAAAATATCTTCAAGAAAATCATAGAAGAAAATCATCCCAACTTAAAGAAAGAGATGTCCATAAATATACAGGAGGCCTACAGAAATCTAAATAGACTAGACCAGAAAAGAAACACATCATGTCACATCATAGTCAAAACACTAAATCTACAGAACAAAGAAAAGATATTAAAAGCAGCAAGGGAAAAAGGCCAAGTAACATATGAAGGTAGACCTATCACACCGGACTTCTCATCAGAAACTATGAAAGCCAGAAGGGCCTGGGCAAGCATCATGGAGACTCTAAGAGATCACAAATGTCAACTAAACCCTGCAAAGTTTTCAATCAACATAGATGGAGAAAACAAAATATTCCATGACAAAACTAAATTTACACAATATCTACACAGCAAACCAACCCTACAGAAGATACTAGAAGGAAAACTCCAATCCAACGAAAACAACTTCACCCAAGAAAACAGGGCATACAGATAATATCCCAACAAAAACGAAAGGAAAACAAGCAATGAAACAGGGTAAGATCATCGACTCCATTACAAAAGGAACTAACATGCATTGGTCACTATTATCTATCAATATCAATGGACTCAACTCCCCAATAAAAAGACACAGGCTAACAGAATGGTTGCAGAAACAGGATCCAACATTCTGTTGCATCCAAGAAACACACCTATGCAACAAAGATAATCACCACCTCAGAGTAAAAGGCTGGAAAAATGTTTTTCAAGCAAATGGTTCCAGAAAACAAGTTGGAGTAGCCATCCTAATATCTAATAAAATAGACTTCCATCCAAAGTTAAACAAAAAAGATAAGGAGGGCCACTATATTCTCATCAAAGGAAAAATCCAACAAGAGGACATCACAATCGTGAATATCTATGCCCCAAATACAAGAGCACCTACATTCATAAATGAAACATTATTAAAGCTTAAATCATACATTGATCCTAATACCTTAATAGTGGGAGACTTCAACACTCCACTCTCATCAAGAGACAGATCAACCAGACAGACACCAAATAGGGAAATAAAAGCACTCACAGAATCCCTAAATCAAATGGACCTAATAGACGTCTCCAGATCTTTTCACCCAAACTCAAAAGAGTACACCTTCTTCTCAGCACCACATGGAACCTTCTCCAAAATAGACCATATAGTGGGTCACAAAGCAAGCCTCAACAGATATAAAAGGATTGAAATAATCCCTTGTATACTATCCGACCACCATGGACTAAAGCTGGACCTCAACAACAACAGAAACAACAAAAAGCCAACACGAACATGGAAACTGAACAACTTACTACTCAATGACAGCTGGGTCAAGGAAGAAATAAAGAAAGAAATTGAAGACTTCCTAGAATTCAATGAAACTGAAGACACAACATACTCAAATTTATGGGACACATTGAAAGCAGTGCTCAGAGGAAAATTTATAGCACTAAGTGCCTGCAGGAAGAAATTCGTAACATCACATACAAACAACTTAATGGCCCAACTGAAAACCCTAGAAAAAAAAAGAAGCAGATACACCCAAGAGGAGCAGACGGCTGGAAATAATAAAACTCAGGGCTGAAATCAATCAATTAGAAACAAATAAAACTATCCAAAGAATCAATGAAACAAAAAGCTGGTTCTTTGAGAAAATCAACAAGATAGACAAACCCCTAGCCAAACTAACTAAAAAGCAGAGAGAAACTATCCAAATCAGCAAAATCAGAAATGAAAATGGGGACATAACTACAGACACTGTGGAAATCCAAACAATTATTAGGTCATACTACAAAAGCCTATATGGCACAAAATTTGAAAATCTAAATGAAATGGATAATTTTCTTGACAGATTCCATCTACCAAAATTAAGCCAAGATCAGGTAGAAAGACTGAATAGCCCTATATCTCCCGAGGAAATTGAAGCAGTCATTAACAGTCTCCCCTCCAAAAAAAGCCCCTCCAAAAAAGCCCTGATGGCTTCAGCGCAGAATTCTACAAGACCTTCAAAGAAGTGCTAACACCAATTTTCCTCAAACTCTTCCACAAAATAGAAACAGAAGGAACACTACCAAACTCATTCTATGAAGCCACAGTGACATTGATACCTAAACCACACAAAGATCCAACAAAAAAAGAGAACTTCAGACCTATCTCTCTTATAAACATTGATGCAAAAATACTCAATAAAATACTTGCAAACCAAATCCAAGAACACATCAAAGATATCATCCACCATGACCAAGTAGGCTTCATCCCAGGCGTACAAGGGTGGTTCAACATACGGAAATCCATCAATGTAATCCACTACATAAACAAAATGAAGGAGAAAAACCACATGATCATCTCCTTAGATGCCGAAAAAGCATTTGACAAAGTCAAACACCCACTCATGTTTAAAGGCTTAGAGAGATCAGGGACACAAGGCACATATCTAAAGATAGTAAAGGCAATATACAGCAAGCCTATAGCCAACATCAAACTCAATGGAGAGAAACTTAAATCAATCCCACTGAAATCAGGGACAAGACAAGGCTGCCCACTCTCTCCATATCTTTTCAACATAGTACTTGAAGTCCTACCCAGAGCAATAAGACAACTAAAGGAGATCAAGGGGATACAAATAGGAAAGGAAGAGGTCAAAGTTTCACTATTTGCAGATGATATGATAGTATACATGAGCGACCCTAAAAATTCAACCAGAGAACTCCTTCAGCTGATAAACACCTTCAGCAAAATGGCAGGATACAAAATCAACTCAATAAAATCCGAAGCCCTCCTGTACACCAAAGACAAAAAGGCTGAGAAAGAAATTAGGGAAACAACACCCTTCACAATAGCCACTAATAACAAAGTACCTTGGGGTGACTCTAACCAAGAAAGTGAAAGGCCTGTTTGAGAAAAACTTCAAATCTCTGAAGAAAGAAATCGAAGAAGATCTCAGAAGATGGAAAGATCTCCCGTGCTCATGGATTGGTAGGATTAACATTGTGAAAATGGCCATCCTGCCAAAAGCAATCTACAGATTCAATGCAATACCCATCAAAATACCAACTCAATTCTTTACAGACCTTGAAAAAAAGATTCTCAGCTTCATATGGAGAAAAAAAAACCCAGAATCTCCAAAACGATCCTGTACAACAACAGATCATCTGGAGGTATCTCCATTCCCAATCTGAAGCTGTACTACAGGGCAACAGTAATAAAAACTGCATGGTATTGGCATAGAAACAGAAAGGAGGATCAATGGAACCGCATAGAAGACCCAGAAATAAACCCACACATCTATGAATACTCGGTATTTGACAAAGAAGCCAAATCCATTCAATGGAAAAAAGACAGTATCTTCAACAAATGGTGCTGGTCCAACTGGATGTCTACATGCAGAAAAATGAAAATAGATCCATATTTATCACCCTGCACAAAACTAAAGTCAAAGTGGATCAAGGACCTCAACATAAAACCAGATACTCTAAATCAGTTGGAAAAAAAAGTGGGGAACAGCCTAGAACTCATTGGCACAGGAGACAACTTCCTGAACAGAACACCAACAGCACAGGCTCTAAGAGCAACAATCAATAAACGGGACTTCATGAAACTGAAAAGCTTCTGTAAAGCAAAAGACACAGTCATCAAAACAAAACGACTGCCTACAGATTAGGAAAGAATCTTCACCAACACTTTATCTGACAAAAGGCTAATATCCAGTATGTATAAAGAACTAAAGAAGCAGAAAAGCAACAAACCAAATAATTCCATTAAAAAATGGGGAACGGAGCTAAACAGAGAATTCTCGAAAAAGGAACATCAGATGGCAGAGAAACACTTAAAGAAATGCTCAACCTAATTAGCCATTAGGGAAATGCAAATCAAAACGACCCTGATATTTCACCTTACACCCATCAGAATGGCCAAGATGAAAAACTCAAGTGATAGCACATGCTGGAGAGGTTGTGGAGAAAAGGGAACCCTCCTCCATTGCTGGTGGGAATGTAAACTGGTTCAACCACTCTGGAAGTCAATCCTGCGCTTTCTCAGACAATTAGGAGTAGTGCTACCTCAAGACCCAGCTATACCACTCCTAGGTATATACCCAAAATTTGCTCAAGTAAACAACAAGGACATTTGTTCAACCATGTTTGTAGCAGCTTTATTTGTAATAGCCAGAACTTGGAAACAACCCAGATGTCCATCAACAGAGGAATGGATACAGAAATTGTGGTATTTTTACACAATGGAATACTACTCAGCAATCAAAAGGCAGGAAATCATGAAATTTGCAGGCAAATGGTGGGATCTAGAAAATATCATTCTGAGTGAAGTATCCCAGAAGGAGAAAGACAAACTTGGTATATACTTGCTTATATAGACCTACAAGATATGATAAACATAATGAAATCTACACACCTAAAGAAGATAATCAAGTAAGTGGACATGGGTGAAGATGATCAATCCTCATTTAGAAAGACAAATGGGATGTGCATTGAATGTATGACAGGAGTTTACCGCAAAAGGCATCTGAAAGACTCTACCTAGCAGTGTTTCAAAACAGACACTAAGACTCATAACCAAACCATGGCAGAGTGCAGGGAATCATATGAAAGAAGGGGACTTAGTATGATATGGAAAGGATAGGAGCTCTACAAGTACGAAATATATCTGGTCACAGGGTCTTTTCTGAGACTGACACTCAACCAAGGACCATCTATGGATATAACCTAGAACTTCTGCTCGGATGTGGCCCGTGGTAGCTCAGTAACCAAGTAGTTTTCCAAAGTAAGGGGAACACAGACTATTTCTAACAGGATCTCAAGGGCAGGCTCTTTGACCTCCCCCACCCAGGGGAGGAACAGTCCTGTTAGGCCACAGAGGAGTACTTTGCAGCCAGCCTTGAAGATACCTGATAAAACAGGGTCAAATGAAAGGGGAGGAGGTCCTCCCCTATCAGTGGACTTGGAAAGGGGCAGGGAGGAGACCAGGGAGGGAGTTGGGGAGGGGAAGGGAATGAGGGAGCGGGATACAGCTGGGACACAGAGTTAACAAATTGTAACTAAAAAGAAAAAGAAAAATAAAAAAGAAAAGAAAAAAAAAAAAGAAATGCCTAGCTTTAGCTGTTCTGTGGTTTTTTGGAATTCTTAATGCTCGAGGGATGAAAACATTGGCTAGATTTCAAACTGTCACCAGTTTGATGAAGATATTCGTTCTTTGCCTCATTTCTCTAACTGGGGTGGTTCTGTTAGCGACTGGGAAGAAGGAGAATGTATCCAGGTTTGAGAATGCTTTGGACGCTGAACTTCCTGATACCTCACAGATTGCAGAGGCCATTCTCCAAGTGTATTTTTCATATATAGGATCATCATTACTGATCAACATAGCAGGTAAAGCCATTCATAAAAATATCTGCCATTATGCCTTATGGGTTTCTTTAAAATTTGGGGAAAAGATAAATATGAATGTTTCATGCTTTGTAATGAAGTTCAGTTTTTCTCTATATTGTGCTCCCATGTATATTCACTAAAGTGGACTTACATTTCATTCATGCCTTTTATACAACCTTAGAAATATTAAGAATTTTGAATGAACGAATTGAGATATTTTTATACTCTATATTTTATTTCATGTGATCTCACCATCTTGAAGTTAATTAATTATATAAGCAATATATTAGTAAATTCTTAAAGCTGTCACAGATCTCGAGTTTTAATATACTTCATCTTAACTTTGAAACTGTTTTCTTCCTAGAATTGCACAGTATCAAGCTTGTGGCTCATCGTCACTCAGTATATTTGCATTGAAAACTACATTTGTACTTTTTTATATGTCTGTCACTGGGAGTAGTAAAATACCAGTTAAATTTTATTCCACACATATCTTAAAGGACTTTCTGTTTGCATAGAGTTAACTAGACATTCTGAACTGATACTTCATACTACTATGAACATCTCAGCTGTCTCTGGTATTTTTATACTAGAGACTGGGATAACAGAATACAATATTATTTTTTGTTGAGCAATAATGCTCAGCCTGATGTCACAAAAGAATTTAATAATAATTGCATACAAATTTGTCTACAATCTCTAAAAGATTTAAAGAAAATAAATCATTACATAGCATGTAAATTTTTATTCATTTTTCATTAATTTTTTAACATACAGAGTGAAAAGTTTCATTATGGCATATTAATATTTACATGTCTTGGTTAGAGATTGTTTCTCCATATGAAGGTGAGAATCTTTTTTTCAAGGTCTGTAAAGAATTGAGTTGGTATTTTGATGGGATTTGTGTTGAATCTGTAGATTGCTTTTGGCAGGATGGCCATTTTAACAATGTTAATCCTACCAATCCATGAGCACGGGAGATCTTTCCATCTTCTGATATCTTCTTCAATTTCTTTCTTCAGAGACTTAAAGTTTTTTTCAAACAGGTCTTTCACTTGCTTGGTTAGAGTCACCGCATGGTACTTTATGTTATTAGTGGCTATTGTGAAAGGTGTTGTTTCCCTGATTTCTTTCTTGGCTTCTGATTTTTTTTTTTTTTGAGTTGATTTTCTATCCTGCCACTTTGCTGAAAGTGTTTATCAGCTGAAGAAGTTCTCTGGTTGAATTTTTAGGGTCGCTCATGTATACTATCATATCATCAGCGAATAGTGACACTTTGACCTCTTCCTTTCCAATTTGTGTCCCCTTAATCTCCTTTAGTTGTCTTATTGCTTTAGCTAGAAGTTCAAGTACTATGTTGAAGAGATATGGAGAGAGTGGGCAGCCTTGTCTTGTCCCTGATTTCAGTGGGATTGATTTAAGTTTCTCTCCATTGAGTTTGATGTTGGCTATAGGCTTGCTGTATATTGCCTTTACTATGTTTAAGTATGTGCCTTGTATCCCTGATCTCTCTAAGACTTTAAACATGAATGGGTGTTGGACTTTGTCAAATGCTTTTTCAGCATCTAAGGAGATGATCATGTGGTTTTTCTCCTTCATTTTGTTTATGTAGTGGATTACATTGATGGATTTCCGTATGTTGAACCACCCTTGCATGCCTGGGATGAAGCCTACTTGGTCATGGTGGATGATATCTTTGATGTGTTCTTGGATTCGGTTTGCAAGTATTTTATTGAGTATTTTTGCATCAGTGTTCATAAGAGAAATAAGTCTGAAGTTCTCTTTTTTTGTTGGGTCTTTGTGTGGTTTGGGTATCAGGGTGACTGTGGCTTCATAGAATGAGTTTGGTAGTGTTCTTTCTGTTTCTATTTTGTGGAATAGTTTGAGGAGAATTGGTGTTAGCACTTCTTTGAAGGTCTGGTAGAATTCTGTGCTGAAACCATCTGGTCCTGGGCTTTTTTTTGAATGACCGCTTCTATTTCCTGGGGGATATAGGACTATTTAATTGATTTACCTGGTCCTGATTCAGCTTTGGTAGGTCGAATCGATCAAGAAAATTGTCCATTTCATTTAGATTTTCAAAATTTGTGGCATATAGTCTTTTGTAGTACGACCTAATGATTGTTTGGATTTCCTCAGTGTCTGTAGTTATGTCCCCATTTTCATTTCTGATTTTGCTGATTTGGATAGTTTCTCTATGCCTTTTTGATAGTTTGGCTAAAGGTTTGTCTATCTTGTTGATTTTCTCAAAGAACCAGCTTTTTGTTTCATTGAATCTTTGAATAGTTTTATTTGTTTCTAATTGCTTGATTTCAGCCCCAATTTTGATTATTTCCAGCTGTCTGCTCCTCTTGGGTGTATTTGCTTCTTTTTTTCTAGGGCTTTCAGTTGGGCCATTAATTTACTTGTATGAGATGTCAGAAATTTCTTATTGAAAGCACTTAGTGCTATGAATTTTCCTCTGAGCACTGCTTTCATTGTGTCCAATAAATTAGGATATGTTATACCTTCATTTTCATTGAATTTTAGGAAGTCTTTAATTTCTTTCTTTATTTCTTCCTTAACCCAGCTGTCATTGAGCAGCAAGTTGTTCAGTTTCCTTGTGCTTGCAGGCTTTTTTCTAATTGCATTGTTGTTGAGGTGCAGCTTTAGTCCATGGTGATCAGATAGAATACAGGGGATTATTTCAATCCTCTTGTATCTGTTGAGGCTTGCTTTGTCACCAACTATATGGTCTATTTTGGAGAAGATTCCATGAGGTGCTGAAAAGAAGGTATACTCTTTTGAGTTTGGGTGAAAAGTTCTGTAGACTTCTATTAGTCCATTTGACTTAGGACCCCTGTAAGTACCTTTATTTCTTTATTAGGCTTCGGTCTAGATGATCTGTCCCTTGGTGAAAGTGGGGTGTTGAAGTGTCCCACTATTAAAGTGTTGGGGTAGATGTGTGATTTGAGTTTTAGTAATGTTTCCTTTATGAATGTAGGTGCTCTTGTATTTGGGGCATTAATGTTCAGAATTGTGATGTCTTCTTGTTGGATTTTTCCTTTGATGAGAATGTAGTGTCCCTCCTCATCTTCTTTGACTAATTTTGGTTGAAAGTATATTTTATTAGATATTAGGATAGCTATCTCAGCTTGTTTTCTGGGTCCATTTGCTTGAAAAACATTTTTCTAGCACTTTACTCTGAGGTAGTGTTTATATTTGTTGTAAAGTTGCATTTCTTGGATGCAGCAGAATGTTGGATCCTTTTCCCCACTCATTCTGTTAGTCTGTGTCTTTTTATTGGAGAGTTGCGTTGATAGATAATAGTGACCAATGAACGTTAGTACCTTTTATATTGGAGTCGGTGGTCTTACTGTGTTCCATTGCTTGTTTTCTTTTAATTTTTATTGGGATATTATCTGTATGCTATGTTTTCTTGGGTGAGGTTGTTTTCATTGGATTGGAGTTTTCCCTCTAGTATCTTCTGTAGGGCTGGTTTGCTGTGTAGATATTGCATAAATTTAGTTTTGTCATGGAATATTTTGTTTTCTCCATCTATGTTGATTGAAACTTTGTAGGGTATAGTAGTCTGGGTTGGAATCTGTGGTCTCTTAGAGTCTGCATGACACCTTCCCAGGTCCTTCTAGCTTTCCTAGTTTCTGATGACAAGTCCGGTGTGATTCTGATAGGTCTACCTTCATATCTTACTTGGCCTTTTTCCCTTGCTGCTTTTAATATCTTTTTTTTTTTTTTTTTTGTAGAATTAGTGTTAGAAGGACCCTGGATCTGGGGCTCTGCAGACACTCAAGGGTGCACTCACTCTCAAGAAGGCCACATTGGCAGAGATCGGGGTATCTGGGCCCTCTGCTCTCTGGTTTGGCCCTGCTTGGTCTTATGCAGGAGGACTGATGCGGCCCACCAGCTCAGTGCTGCTGCAGCTGCCAGGTTAGGAAGTCCAGCTACAGCTGGAGACTGGGATGCTGGTCCAGATGCCTTCTGCAAAGTCCTGGGTGCCCGCCACTGTGCTCTCCAATCCTGGAGGCCCAGCACCTGGTATGCCTAGCTTGTATGTCGGGTATGCTGGGCTTTGGTGGGGTATATAGTGTATTATCTGTCATTGAGGGTTTGGGCAAATGAAGAAGAAACCCACAGAATAGGAGAGAAACTTTGGCACTAAACATCTAACACAAGATTAATATTCACAATATACAAAGGACTAAAAAAAAAAGAAAAAAAACAGTCAAGGAAGAAAATAACCCAATAAAAGAAACAAAAATGGCAAAACAAAACAATAACAGAACTCAAAAAGTGGTATCATTCTTAGCAATTAGCAAAATGCAATTCCAAGCAATTTTTGAAATTTCACCTCAGCCTAGTGAGAATGACTAAGGTCCATAGAACAACTCACAACATATACTGGCAAAGTTGTAGAGATAAAAGAAATATAGCTACTGAGAGTGAAAATGCAAAATGCTGTAACCAACCTGGAAAACAGTATAAAGGATCTGCAAAAAAAACTAAAAGTAATCTACCCTGTGACCCAACTAGACTGTCTGTTGTCATGTCCAGAAGTCTAGATATCTTTCTCCACAAATACTTGCTCAGAAAGCTTTGTAGCCACCCTATTTATAATAACCAGGAAATGGAAACATCCTAAATTCCTTTCAACAAATGAAAATTAAAATGTGGTTATTTGGTTGTTTTGTTTGTTTGTTTGTTTATTTGTTTGTTTTTAATGACAGTCATTCTGTTTGGGATGAAATAAAATCTAAAAACAGTTTTAATTTGTAATTTTCTTATGGCTAAGAATGTGGAACACTCATAAACACTATATTTCTTCTTTTGAGAACATCTTATTCAGCTCATTAGCCTAATTATTAATTATTAGTTTTGGATTTTGGGTGCTTAATTTTGTTGTTCTTCATACATCTTAGGTCCTAATTCTTTGTCTGAAGCATAGTGCCAAAATTGTATTCTTCTATTCTGTGTAACTTCTCTTCATTTTTATGATTATTCAC